ACACACACACACACACACACACACATGTGTGTGTGTGTGTGTGTGTGTGTGTGTGTATACCACCTTCTTGATCCTTATAGCATACAATATCAACTTTCCTAGTCTGGATATAAACAGAGAGAAATATATCCACAACTATACAGAGTGTAGCCAATGATTTGTACCCAAAAATATATCATATTAAGCCAGAGAAATCATAATCATAGGCACAGACCTCTTGCTGAATCCTTGCATAGCATGTATCATCAATAGGGTAATTAGAAATTTGATCCATCTCCAACAGCAGTGAGTCAATATTTCCATACTGTGATGAAATATCCATATTCTGGGGATTTTCTAATTTATAATTCATTGGTTCAGGCGGCCTGTATTGGAGATCCGGGCTATCCGTACCACATGACTTCGTACAACTACAATCAAATGAAAACTGGAGGCTATTTTCTTGATATGCATAATCAATATCCCCATACTGTGATGAAAAAATCATGTTCTTGGAATTTTCTAATATATGATTCATAGGATCTGGCGGCCGGTATTGTAGATCCGGGCTTTCTGATGGTGTACTGAAGCATGTTGATGAGTCAAATGAAAACTCTAGGCCATTTTCTTGATATGCATGATCTTCGATTTCTAAAATTGATCGAACTTCCTCTACGGGAGGGGATGTAGATACAAAAGGAGGAGGCGGAGATGAGATCAAGACAGAAGGATTTTCATTTCCAATTCCATTCCCAGTGAGTTCTTGAACAAGATTCTTGAAGTTTGAAGAGTCGATGATGTAAACTTTGGGGCGTAAATTCTTGATCAATCCGTTGAGGGGATGTTGTTGTTTCTTGTCATTCTTAGATATTTTCATGGAAGATTGACTTGATTTCTTCCCCATCTTGTAATGAAGACTATGGAAATTTTTTGTTACTGTTCCTGGTCTTGTTTCACTCGGAGGATACTAAGAGGCATTAATATATATGTATATGTGTGTAGGAAGGTTTGACAGAGAGATGCCGAAAATGATGTTTATTCGATATTATTCTATATCTACATATGGTATGTAAATTGCAGTCCTTGCCCAACAACCCACCATTCGCGTCTCTCTCACTTCACACACGTATTCTCTAACTCTTTAAGTTACGAATGTGAAACACATCAAGAATATGCTGAATTTTGTAATTACCTGGACGTCGTCAAGGTTACCTGATGAGGTCGAGTAGAGGGGAAAATGACACCAGGTTAAAAAAAGACTAAAATGATTTAAGGTAGAACAACAGTGAAGGCACGCAGCTAACTATTCACTGGTTTGTCTTCATCTAGACAGCCTAGTTACACATCAAAATTCAGACATGGAGACAGAGATGGAGAAAATATATATATATATATATATATTTTTTAAAAGAACAACTTAAGGAGTAATAAGATGCTCTAAACTCTTTATGTTCGATTTACGGAAAATTAGGCATGTGCTTCCTAACCTTTTAGTTAGTCCGGTTTTGTGGTCCACGTCCTTCAACATCCCACGCTTGATTGGCGAAGCAAAGTCTACTTTACTTCTGTATTTCCAGTAAAGGTTTACGGTATCAGTACTTTCCATCTCGATTTTTTCACTATGATATTTCCAATAGTTTATATAGGAGACGTAGCCACTTCCTGACAAGCTTGCTATGAAATCCATGTACACACACTTGTCCGATCTCTCATGGTGTATAGGTAATAGTGAGGTTCTGAATCTCAACTTATTTAAATATGTAAATATAGGTAACCTCGTGACCAAAATCGTCATATGGATATCAAAATCTCATGATTTAAAGTTAGAGGGCAAGACTGTGAGACCACTTAAAGTTCATTTAGATTAACATGAAAGTTGCATTTGATACCCAACGAACAAATTTTTTTTTTTTTTTTTCATCACGGATACAAATTCAATTTAAGCGCTTACATTTTCAATCGAAAATCCTACAAGATAGGAAATGAACTATTCTCTTATAAAATGTACCACCTTGCATAATTATTTATTAAAAAAGATTATTAAACTCGAAATAATTAATTAAATAGGATAGCAAAGTTTTTTTCTACCTAACAAAGACAAAAATAAATAAATAAATTGAAAATCAATTCGTTTATATCATTATCCGAAGTCATTACATTATATCAAACCAGACTCCGTGCCTAATTTCAACATCATCTATCCAAATCTAAAATTTTGGCTCTGGCTGTCTTTCTTCTATTAATTTTCAGACTTTCACAATCACAATAAATTCGACATTATTGGGCCCTAAATTATTTATCAAGCGTGTAATATTTAATTATTTATCTTACCAATAATTTGGTTTTGGCCTGCCATTGAGAATAATAATACAAGCAAGTAAATACATAGTGACACAAACATAGATATAGGAATGATCAAATGAGCATAAATGTTCATATTATGCTAAGCATCGATGACGTGTTATACCAATTCACTGATGAATAGAAAATTAAATACAAATATGTCCACCAATGAACTGATATGGCGCGTCATCGGTGCTTAGTAAAGATGAGTAACGATACTCATTTGATCATTGCTATGTCATTTGTGCTTAGTATAAGTTAAGCACTGACGCTTAGGACATCTTATCCTAAGCACCGGTGACCTGACAAATTAACTACTAACAAATTTAATCATTAGTATGGGACTCACCCTTATTTCGCAAACAAATAAATTCACAAATATACAATTAAAAATTTAGGATCTTTGCAAATGCTATTACAAGAAATTAATTTCAATAACATAATTTAAGAATGACATTGCTGTTTAGAATCACTTTGCAAATGTTATTACATCAAGAACCTAAATTACCTGATTTCAACTACATAGAGCATCTAACTGACATTAGGCACGCAAAAATTCTCCATAGCATTCAAAGTTCAACTGGAAAAAATTGAAACAGCAAAATACTATAATTTCATAGAAGAAGTCTACAATATACTGTCATTTTCCCCCACAATTGCCAATACTACAACATCTGTAAATTAGTTTCCTTCCAAAATGTCTGACCTTGCACACTGAGAATCAAAATGAATTGTCTGCAGAATGAGAAAGCAATAAGAAAAGATATAAAATTGACAAATAAGAACATAGCATTTTTTATTTTTTATTTTATAACCGTAGATGTCCGGACCAGTTTGCGCGCACCTCGACTAATTCCACGGGACCCTGAAGTTGACGGCCGGGTATTCACCTTAGTAACCTTAAGGGGATTCGAACTGGTGATCATTGGGGAGCAAACTCAAGGCCTAACCAATTGAGCAACTCCTCAATGTTAAAAATAAGAACATAGCATTAACCATGAAAATATTAAAAATTACCTTTCAAGTAATGTCGGCACGTTTGCTTCCGATAATTTCTGATGGCTCTTTCTGTACATCCAATATTTTGAGGACCTCCATATTCAATTTCCATCAAACTTATTTGTCGACTAGTTGACACGTTTGCTTTAGATTATTGTTGTACCAAAGCCTTCTTCGCATCTGAAATGTGAGGATGCGACCTCAATAAGTGTACTCTCGAAGAAGGTGCATGATTATGAGTCTCCAATAAGCTACTAACAATCCAACATGGAGATGATTTATTCCTAACCACAATTAATTTATCCTTACAACCCACACTAATGATTCCCCAATTTCTGTCACCACTCCGTTGAATTGCATGCTTCAACTTTTTCTGATAATTTTCATCCGTTTGTCCTTCTGTGTAACATACAATTTTTTTTAGGATGTGCTCACTCGTACCTGGCCTCCTCTTACTAGTTGACATTCTAGCACTCAATCTAGCTTCTTTTGCATAGTTGTTATAAAATTCATATGCAGTTTCAATTGATTCAAATTCTCGACCAACTTTAGGCTTGCGCTCCTCCGTAACTTGGGGTGTGAATATTTGAGTTGTGATCTCTCCTTCCATGCTCAATAAGATTAAACACGTTGAACTTCAAAAAAAAAAACACTTTAATTGATTATTTTTACCATATAAAGATACAAAGAACACTATTTTCCTTTTTAAAAAAAAAAAAACCATTAATCAACATTCTAAACCTTCCAATATCCAACCCAATAAAAATATAAATAAATTTTACAGGAACCAACTATGATTATGTTCATTAATCATCGTTTAGGCACATTTAAGATATGCTGCCATAGTCCTAATTGCTGGTTTTTCATTTTATGGGGACTGTAAAAGAAACTGTGTTGGTTTTCATATTTTATGGAATTAAAATTATTTGTATCTTATAATTTTATGTTCTTACCTTCTCTCATAGTACTGTTGTGTGGTTATAATCCTCACTTCGAGGAGGGGGAAAAAGTTTGCTATTATTTTAAGCATCATAAAATTCTTGAACTTTATAAGAAAAATAAATAAATAAATAAATAAAACCGTCGAGGAAAAAAAATTAATTTTCATCGTTCAGTATATTCATTCCTTAAAAAAACATAATATTTGAAAATAATCTTACCTGAACGTGGCGTGAATCAATCTCGACAAGTTTAAGAGGGAGAAATTAAAGATGAACTCTTATGGTTTTTGCTTTTGAAGAAGACATTGAAATTGATTAGTGACTCTTGGACTTAGTGACGGGCAGAAGCCATAAAATGGTGCTCTCGGCTCGGTTCTAGCCATGGGCCGTCGGAGCTGGCGAGCCAAATTGACGCCCTACTTGGACTCTATTGTGATTAAGTTTTTTTTTTTTTAATTATATATTTGTGAGATGGTGGTGTGCCTCACAAGTGTATTTTATAAACTTATTCGAGGTTTTAAATAATGATATTTTGTAGTTCTTTTGATAAAATATAGCATAATTTGTGTTATAATGTTTTTTATTAGGTAAAACTCATGATTTGATGAAGAATTGGAGAAAACAAGCTAAAAATAGAGAATAATTATGAAATTAAAACTATGGGGACTAAATTGCAAATTTTCAATAATAGTGTCAGGATATAAAATGAAGAGTGAAGATGCTACAAACTCAATTTGAGGCAATTGGAAGCTAAAGTGACGAAATCACAAGTGAAAAGATCAAAAATGCATTGCGAAAAGTTAAGGGACCGTTTGCACAATTTGCCCCAAAATATGAAGTTATGCATATGCATAAACCTGTAGGTCATGCGTACGCGAGATCCCGACTGAAGCTAAAATCATTCTACTATACCATGCATACGCATAGGTTTCCGGCTTTAAAAAAAAAAAAGATTTCTTTCATTTTCTTATTCCGACAAATTTCGGTATGATATCTTTGCATCATTTATAACCTAATATCCATCTAGAACATAAAAAAACCTCCCTAGATCTAACATTCAAATATTCTACATATTTTGGAGATGAAGAATGCGGCCAATTTATCAATCAAAAGCGGGTTTTCACAAGACTATTGAAGATTTCTCTTCCCTTTTCAAGATTTCATTCAAGAAAGTGAATTTTTCCACTTTCGTCAATCATTTTTTAATCCGGATGATGTTATTTCATATTTTCTTGTGTAATTCATTATTTAGAATGATTAACTAAGTTTTTTTTAATGTATTGAATGATTGAGGAACTCTATTTTTGTTTATTTTATGTGTTTTTTTGTTACTTCTTGATTGATTTTCGCATTTCGATTATACTATTTAATTGTTTGGTCATCAATTGAAAATTTAGTTACTTCTTGTAGTGTAGAAATACTCATAATAAATTTAGAACACGGTAAAAACAACACATATGCAATAGGTATTAGGAATAATATATATGGTATATGCTATCATGTAGATAACCCATATTAAATGCATGATTTTCATATGAATTCAGACTAGTAATATGATCCGGTCATGTTAATCATGGATTGTTGTTTCTTGAAAAAGAGCATTTAACATATTAGCGTTATC